TTATTAGACGTTTGTTATTCCGGTGTCTTAGATAAATATCTTTACCAGGAAATAGATAAAAATCGCCGTAAGGCGGTCAGGAAAAGTATCGTTCCTGAAATAATATATTAAATTTGTACAATGAGAATAAGTACACTTTCAAAATACCATTCGCACCTTCAACAAAATTCTAATACAAACGATTGTTAATGTCAATACAAAATTCTCACCAACTGCAGTGTGAATTGCATAGTTTAGCGTTGATTGAACCGGTTAAAAACGTACTTTGCAACAATTCTATATGACACCAGGCGATTCCCGTTTGTGGTGTTCTATTGGCTTTTGTTAACTTCCGATTTATCGTGTAATTGAAAATTTGTTGACTAATTCCAAATACAGTACTCATATCGCACAATAATAGCAGGAGTACAGATTGAGTGACACCATTCTACCAGCGATCCGAGACAGGTGTGTCGTTCTACGCTGGTATAAAATGCCGCAGGTTTGTCGTTTAGGAAACGACCAAACTGAATCGTTTCGTTACAATTAGCCTTTTAGACGTTTTGTCAACGCTAGCGGCAATGATTGTTTTAGGCCAAGCTTTTAACATTGTCAATCATATACCACAGAGAACTATTTTTCATTTTTCACATAAATTGTCAAGGAAAACATTCGAAGGTGTTTAAATATAACGAAATATGGGAGGAATAGGAGTAGTATAGTAGCAGTAGGGGTGGTGGTGGTAGTGATGGTAATGGTAGTAATATATAGTAGTTATCAATATCAATATTAAATGCCCTTTCTTATTATTTTTGCTGCTTATATACACTTTTAAGATACGATACGAAAAGCTTTATTGCAATTTTTATCATAAAAATTGTTGAACAATAAACCATGACAACACAGTACAATTACACCAATTAGTCCTGTTACTATAGTAGTATAATTGTTTATTGTTATATTATTCATTAGGCCAATTATTAATAATTATTATTTTAATTATTATTAATATTATCATTACTATTATAATTTATTCGTTTTTGGAATTATTTGTTTAGAATATATGAATTGAAAAACTACAATTGTAAACAATTAATGTTATATAAAATACATGATATTAAATTAAAATACTAAATGTATCTACCTTGAACAATTTTTTAGAATAAACAACAAAAATCAATAATACTTATTACCGTACTTTCTATAGGCCTATAAGTATTTGTCTATCAATTATATTTTTTGCGCTCGCCAATTAGACCTAACAGACTCATAAATAACACCGAAATCCTATCTTTCCATAACTCCTTGAGGATTTTGCTAATGTGCAATAAGTAAATCAGCAAAAAATGAATTGTTGCAATCCATGTTTCGTTGGGAATGGTCTGATTCTTTTCAATTTTGATTCTTATTTTTCCTAATTTATTGTATTTTTACCACAGGTCAATATAATTCTTTATCTTGTGTACTATTAATTGCTTTTACAATTCCGCGCTAGATAAAATTGATTCATAAACCACTTGTGTTTTGACCGCATTTTAAATAAATGTTTCGTTTTTAGTATAAACCACACAAAAGCAATCTTGAAAAGAAAACCGCTTATTTGCAGACTGGTTTCCGGAAATAATATTGCGGTTTTGAACATTATGGAAACAAAAATCAACTCACACAATAATTTAGCAACGTTATGACGGAATAGATTCTTTATTCCTATTTTATTTTTAATCAAAGTTTGACCTATTTTTAATTAATTAATAATAATTATTTAATCAAATTTGTTTATTAGGATTAATTTTAAAGAAAGTATAATATTTTGTTTGTATTCCTTTATACATAGGCCTATTTAGGCTTTATTCATCTTCATATTTACCAATATCGCATGTATTTATTAACAATTACGTAATCTCATTCATAATTTCCCAGTAATAGTCGACGCACTAAACGCCACCTTTTCACAAATGGTACTTGATCGTATGTTTTTCAACTAAAGTGATATACAATAATTTCCGATTTATATTACAATTAATTTGATACTAATTTTATTGTTATAATCGACCCATCTCGGAAGAATACACATGATTGCCAACACCTCTCTAGTAATTGCCGAGGTATTTATAAATATTTAATTGTGATATTAATTATCTATTCACCCATTCATGGGTGTTTATCTAGAATAGATAAGATGCGCTGTATGTGGTAGGGATCGATGCGTGGTTGAAGGTTCTGTTACACTGGCTTCACTATTGCTTGTATCACAACTTCTCGATCTCATTGCTAATTGCTACTATTATCGATATTATATGGTAATCTAGGGTAAACGTGACTGTTTTAACTTCGTGTGTGAAATGTAAATTATTGAATAATTAATGTAAATTGACATCTGTTTATTTCATTAGGGCCTACATGAATAATTACAAATGCTATAAATATATAGACCTATATATATAGGCCTATATATATATTTCATGTAATTACAAATGCTATAAGTATATAGACCTATATATATATGTTTCATGTATTTATATGAACAATTAAATAGTTCAATATTTTATAGGCTTTTGTTCAACATGGTTTTTTTTTCAACATGTTCTTTATTTCTTTAACAATTTCATGGAAAAATTATATAGTCCTACAGTACATCAACAATAAAAAAAATACATACATTTTTAAAACAAAAACCAGAAAAAAAATATTCTCTCAAACTACAAAAAAAAATCGCTACCGTAACTTTCCAATAGACAAGAATAAACAATGCTTTTTGTTTTAACAGTGAAGAAAATGTCATAAACTCATCATATATTTTTTCATTAAATAATGTAATTACTATTGATATATGTATACAGCATATACATTCAATTGGTAATGTGATGAACTTTCTACTATTCATGTTTTCTTGTATTTCCCTTTTTAGATGGCAAACGAGCAAGACTAGAAATAATTCATGCTAATTCTCAAGTATCACCTACTACAACATCAGCGATGATAAACGGCGCAAGTAGTCCTCCTAGTTCAGTTTCTAGCATGGTAGATATTCAAGCAGTTAGCCCTGGACTACATTCACCAACGAGCCGGGACTGCAACAACACTTCTCCCCTTCTTTCACCCACTATCTCTCATAAAAATTCCCCTAAAATATGTCTAGCAGATGAGACAATGAGTAAAGAAAGTCGCCGAGATAGAGAAAAGAGCAGAAGTCCGCCAGATTCACCACTGTCTTTAGCTGCTAAACATAGTGGTAAACAACCAATAGACACTTTAATTCAACTATTTCCATCTCAAAAGAAAAGCGTACTGGAACTGATTCTTCAAGGTTGTGATGGAGATTTGGTTCAAGCTATCGAACAAATTCTCTCGAACCACCATGCTGCTCAGGCAGCGCATGGCTCTTCAAATGCGTTTCCATTCCCTTCAACGAGTTCCAGCAACACTTATGTGACTCATCGGCCCTATTTGCCGACAACGCCGTTGGGTTCTTCTGGAATAAAGTCGGCTTTTTCTCCTCTGAGTGCAACGGATAGAGCGGCTATGGCGTCACCTACTGGTCCCTTTCCACACATGCAGTTTGCGTATGCACCTTATGGTAGGGGGTTAGCTCTTGTGAACCCTTACCCACCTGCGATGTTCCCAGCGTTTGGAATGAGGCCGCCGACGGCTGCAGAGTACAGTTTCAGTGGACTAATGCGAGATATGAGTGGAAGAAAAGATGGTAGGCAGAATGGAACGTTTGGAGCTTCATGTGAGTTTAAAATTAATTATTATAATTATTAATATTAACATTCCTCAACATTATTATAATTACGTATCTGGTCCATTTATCACATTTGTAGTGACTAAACGGTTTAATCAACGAAAGGTATCATTGTTGTGAATACAAAGCCTTATCCCACAAGATAAGAGATATATGTCTGTATTACTGGTACATAATTGGCAATATACAATACAATCCGTCTCTTCCACTTATTATCTACTTTGAGATCAACTTTAATAAACACCATTCGTGTTACGTCACCTCCATCGGTAAGCAAATCATGGTATTACAACTATAGAGAAGACACTATCATTATATCAATTTCTTTAATTTGATATCTGTCATAACAAAGGATATTCCGTAAGAAAGATTGACAATATCGTTTTGAATGCAGTGTTATGAAGTGGTTAGTGAATACTGTATGTATACGATTACATAATTTGGGAGATATATTGTTTACTTTAATGATTTAATGGATTGGAGCGATATATTGTGACAGATTACAGTTACTTATACCTATTCATTTACTATTTCAGAGACACTACTGATATAGATGAAGGCCGGTCGTTATGCTCAATGGCATGTGCAACTGTTGGATTACTAAACGGTCCAGGTAATTGCTCCTTTCATCAAGCAAGAGGCGAACCTACCAGATTCTGATGTAGGCCTATGATTGGTCGTTAACGCGTGCATGTTGTTAATGTTGAATTCAGTCGGTAATTGATGCTCACGTGTAAACGAATTGTGCTTTACTGTTTGCGTTTACACTTCGTGGTTTAAATCTCAAATTGTCATCCTTGTAATTTGATGATAGGCCTACTTGAAAATAAACGACTATTTGAACGCATGACAAGCCATCAGAAATAAATGCTCTATATTATATTTTGATCTGAGTAGGCCTATAGCATCGGCCACGAAAATGGGCGACTTTCTTTCACTTTTTTTGTGCGTGTTTTTCGATTAAAATATAGGCATATAAATTTTGTGCTGAGCTGAGAAATTTAATAATACAATTCAATATATGTATTGCTTACATTTATATTTCAAATAAGTTAAGCTTGTGATTTAATAGGGAGATTTCGCAACCTTACGAAAACGATAACGAATACGAATACGTCATTGTCGTTATCGTCATTCGTGCCTAAAACATTCTTGACAATATGCTGTATGACGTATCCGTATTCGTTATCTTTTCGAAGCTTGCGAAACTCCCTAATATTTGAACGAGAAAAAAACTTGTCAACAAACGCACACATGATGACCGTACCGTTCAATTTTTTAACATAAATCCTGCGGAAATGTAGTTTGATGTGTCATAATTATAAAGTTGATCATTTGTTTGATACTTTGGATTCAGTTATTCAATAGTCTACGTGATGTTGATATGTCCAGATCAAAAAACTGTTGTATGCCCATATGTTTTCATTATGTATATTATACATAATATGTAATATATATATGTAATATCTGTCTCTTATACACATCTAGATGTGTATATTTGAACGAGAAAAAAACTTGTCAACAAACTTGACAACAAAATTAGATTTCGTTCAGATATTATCACCTGCAGAATATCTTTAACATTTTAAGTAAAATTCATCAACACTTTGATATCAAAAACGTGCAAGCATTGAGCCAAGCAAATTTAGTTTCCTATAAATAACTTTGGTATAAATTATTGTATATTGTAGATGGTTGTTTATAACTAAGATATGTAAATTATTATTCCCCTTTTCCTTTCAAGATGTAATATAATAGTATTTCCAACGTTATGTAAAATTACTTGTTTCTACTTCAACCCAAATGATTTGCCGTGAGGTGTTAAATGTGTTTTTGACGTTCAGAAAAGTTAGATTAGGAGTACAGTATTGCATTGGAAACGTTTTTACAATATCAAATTTCTTTTTAATTTGATTCTTGAACTCATACAGTAAGTCTTATCAAGATTGAAATAAATATTTTTTCATTGTATTTTATTATGACAGTTACGGTATTGTTGACAATTATATTAAAACGGATTCAGTCTATAGGCAGGACGATGCCTACTCTTTCAACCACCCTTGAGAAGGGGTGGCTTCGTAATAATTTATAGCCTAAGGTGAATAATAATAACCAAGAGAGAAGACAGAAAATGGTTATCATTTTTGTTCATTACTTGGCTTTTTGATTTAATCACAATGTGTGCTGATGTTGTTTAAAAGCACATTAACTAATTTTAATTAGTTTAAATTTCAAAATCAGCACTAACTGCGAAAGAGGATATTTCACTTTAAAACAGTGTCTATTGTATGCCTGCCTTTAAAAAAGTACCTTTTATTCTTACATTGTGAAATAATCGTGAAATTCACTCAGCAATAGAGTTATATTCCATTCATTTTTAATTGTTATTTCACTCTATTTTAGAATAATTCTTTAGACACTTTCACTCTTTTTTTTCTTTTGCATCTTGAGATTGGATAGAATAGGCCAACATACCATGGATGTATAAAATAAAATGTATTTTATACCTCCATGAACAAAAGAACAAGCGTAACTAACGGAAAACCTGATGCATTTTTGCTCACTATTTATTTATTCTGACGTTTTATATTATGAGTATATATACGCTGAAATACGAATTGTTGTTTGTTTTATGTTGTATATAATTAGGTGTTTTAACATTCGTTGAAGTCTATGATCGTTAACATTGTATGATAAATAAATTGGAAATATTTGACAACACAAGCAATGAATTCGTTCGTATTTATTTGAAGACATTTAAGACAATTAATCGTGTATAAATTATATGTCCTGAGTTTCATTAAGAACATAATTTAAGCTCCTTACTCAATTTAATTGTGTTTTCAGCAATACATTAAAGATAGAATGTAAATTCTACTTTATGTACCTCAGGTATTGGGATAAATTCCTAAGTACAGTACAGTGAATACACAAAACAAAATTACATTCAAAGTAAAATAGTTATAAACAGTGTGTAAACGGACCACAGAATATCATAATTTAGACATCGTACATTAAACATTTATAAAGAAAAATTAAATATTTATAAAGGGGCCAGAATTATAGTTACATCATTCATTCACAAAGAAAACTACCACACAAACACAAACAGCCGTACCATGTCAGGCCCGGTCTAGGAACATGCCTCACTGATTTCCTCATCAATGTACCGGTATTCTTTCTTCTCACAAGCCATATTATGGTGGAATTACCTTCCACATAATACCCTTGATGCCTTCCCTAAGTGTAAAAACAAGCCGGGCCAGATTTACTCGCACCACATGCATTTTCCCACTCACTCAAGTTTTCATTTTTCAATGTTTTCCTGTTGTCTGACACACACTGACCTGCACATTTACTTACACTGCACAGTTCCTTTGCTCTATGTCCAGACGTTTGAGCCCTGCAGAGTTCCCAAGTAGAAATACGATTATATCTGTGAGTGCCTTTTAAAAGTGAGATTAAACTAGGTGTTAGAAAACATCTCTTTTCACACATCTCCAGAAAAAGAATACAAGCAAGCCATGCTTTGATACTCGCAAAACTTTAAAACGCTTCACTCATTCGTTGATTGATGATGACCCATCGGTGACAATGCTCCTAAAGCAGATGGATGTTTCAGTGTATTTTCTTTCTTATTGTGTTTTACAGTCAAATATAATAGAAAACAGTCCTTCTATATCCCCCACCAGCGGCGTAACTAGTAGTGTGAGTGTGGGGGGAAAGTTAACCTCCGATTGGCCGCTCCCCTCACTGTAAGTGTTCGAAGCAAACAATTACGGTCAAGTACATAAAAATCATCTCATATCACATTATTTTGGTTACCTTCCCTCACTTAATCACCAATCCCCCTCCCACATCTCAATTACAATCCAGATGGATGTTTTAGAATTTGATTCAATTCGGGCCTAGTTACTTCATAGGTCTACTTACATCACAATTGTATTATACATACCTACATACAGTACATACATACATGCTTGCCAGTATTTTTTATAGCGCCTCTACATCAAGATCGTAGCGCTAAAGAAAAAAGTAAGTAAATAACAATTAAATAGTGAAAGCTGGCATGAGGCATTACTTAACTCTACATATAACTTTTCAATGGTATTTTTTAAGGTTACTATAGCGTCACATTTTCGGATATTAATAATATGCATTTTGTTCCTAATGCAGTGGCGTAGGAGACATGAAGTGGGGGTGCGGATGGGTGGTGG